TGAAAAAGGTGCGATTTATAACTTGAAGATAGCGTATTTGTGTGCGTTGTGCTGGATTTGGCATGAAGAAAAGAGATGAAGCAAAAACGCTAAAAAAAACCATTTGGTAGAACACATTCGGAATGTGGAAACCATAAACTGCAGTAGAAAGGGCTATGGTAATCAAATGTTCTAAAATCATCAACTTTAATCACTACACGCTGATGTTCTCTAACATTTTTCTAAAATCATCAACTTTAATCACTACACGCTGATGTTCTCTAACATTTTCCAAAAAATTTTGGAAGGTTTGCGAATTTGCGTGTCACCTTGCGCAGGAGCCATGTTAATCTTTTCTATATTGTTCCAGTTTTTGTATACGTTCAGGAATGAGCAAAGATGAATGCTGCTTTCATTTCTGCATTCACAGTTGTTTCCGCGCAGCATTATAAGGATTTGTTTCCAACAAAAATGCTTGTCAAGTTTCTCGAACCTTGCCAAATCATCTCCACAGCGCTCGCTCTCCCAATCTTCTACGGTTACAGGCGGCAGCCTTTTGTTGCTTCTACATCACCCCTGTTTGCGACGTCATATGTTTATTGTGTTATGATAGGCGCGGAAAGCGGCACGATTTAATGGACCGGTTCAATTTGTTATTTCCATTAAATCTCGGCGATTATTCGAGTAAAAATATTGTAACTGTTTCAGCTCCGGTTTGATAGGCGGAAGTTTTGATTGAAATGATCAACAATTTTTTGATAATGGTTGCTATTAGACACCCCCACAAAGCTCGCAAAACGCTACAAGGCAGTCTCGTACCATGACCTTGTTCCTTCGAACGCAATGGTTTCGAAACCTGCACAGCTCTCCTCTTCCTCAAAAACGCACAAGTTTGTTATGTCTACAAAGTGATCAGCATCGAAATTGACTGGGCTTTGTACGTTCTAATTAGGCCCTTCTTAGCCAAGCTGCGATGGCCAAGGGTTTAAGGTTTATAGTGTAGCTTGAAGGAAATTTTTTGGTCATGGTATCATTTCGTTATACCAATGATTTATGGAGATCGAACACTGCATTAACACTCCCGCGCTCACATCCATGTACAAAATTTCTGGGGCAATTGTACAGGGGAAACTGGTGTTAATCACCCCAAGAGAAGAGTCCGCTTTCTTGAAAAGTGTATATGAAAGAAGTAGATGTTCGAAAACTCAAAATCTCTTTCTTATTTGATGTGCAAATCCTATCGTGACTTATAATAAAGCGCCAAAAATGTGATCGCGTAGGTAGTCGATTTGGCAAAGTTTTTTTGCACGGAAATGTAGCGTAAAATGACTATCATCTTGTGACGGTCATCAAACCAAAATAAATTCAGTAATTCCAAATTCGCATCTGTTCCTTTGTAAGAAAAGTTTTCTTTTTCACAATTAGTTCTTAAAGGCCGGGCATACTACACGCGATTTCAGTCGCGACGCGATGTGGCAATATTCCAACTGTTCATAACTCTAAGCAAATTTAAAATGCACGGAAGATAGGGCATTTCATCAGTTTACGTAAGTTATACACACTATGCATGTGCAGTCAGTAAGTGTTCTATTTGGCAGGGTCCATACTGAGCCGCACAAAGCGGCACAGTTCCCGCACAGCGCTCGAACTGTGCTCGAACTGTGCCGGAACTGTGCTGCATGCGCACCTGGAGTATTTTGACCGTTTCTGACGGTTTTTCTTTTAGGTTTCTCTCAATTCGGGCCTTATTCCTCCACCCCGCTTTTCCTTTTGTTGTGTAGCGCTTCGAACTTGAAGCGGGGTAGAAGAAAGAGCGAAGAAGCAATGAAATGGAAAAAGAACGCGGCTGAGAGGATACATGTAGCACAATCGCGTTCATTCTTTTACCCCGCTTCAGGTTCGAAACGCTACACAACAAAAAGGAAAGCGGGGTAAAACAAAGAACGAAAAAACATGAAATGAAAACGAAGAGGGGCTAGGAGCTCAATAGTGGCCAACAAGTTGATGGGGTTTCCTGCTCTTCTGCACTATTTTTGCCCTCCTTCAAGAAAAATGCCTGCGAAAATATCGCAGTGCTTTCTGGAAGCAGATGGAATACTTTTATGCAAGGATAAAACAAAGATACATGAACGAACGGAACAACACACATAATCGGACACACAAAGCAGAACAGCGATTTCCTCAACACCGCTTTGCACTCGAAGTTCCACTCATCAAAAGGAAAAGCGGGGTGGAGGAAAAAGGCCCGAATTGAGAGAAGCCTAAAAGAAAAACCGTCAGAAACGGTCAAAATACTCCAACTGCGCATGCAGCACAGTTCCGGCACAGTTCGAGCATAGTTCGAGCGCTGTGCGGGAACTGTGCCGCTTTGTGCGGCTCAGTATGAACCCTGCCTTTGAAGGAATCTAATCGCGTGAAGTATGCTCGGCCCTTTACATGGAGGTAATTTAAGAATGAACATTTCTTTACAAATCATTTGTGTTGTTAAGCATCGCGCGGTAAGTTTCAGAGTCATCACTATGCGAACACGAGGAAGGCTTAGTGATAGCAGAGCCAGCGCGAATCTCCGCGAAGCGGAGGTGAAGCATTGGTTTAATATCATAATTTCTTTTATAATAAGCGAGTCCCTCAAAATTTGCGCGTCAAACGGGTCCACGTGCCTTTTGGCACCCAAAACGCTAATTCGACTTTTTGCAAAGTTATGATTTGCCTGACAAGTAAGTCTGGGCCCCATGGATTCTAGCCCGAAATGTGCTCAAAAAATTTGCTTTTTTGCGAAAACAGCGCCAAAAAGTGATGAAATGCCGATATAGTCGATTTGGCAAGGTTTTACTTGAGAAAACTGAAAAGATTTTAGGCACTGGAATGTAGCCCAAGATGACTATTATCCTTATGACGATTATCAAAGTAAAATAAATTCAGTAATCCGTTCAAATTCGCATTTGTTTTCTTGCAACAAGTTTTTTTCTCAAAATTACCGACCTTAAATGGAGATGCTTCATGAATGAACGCGAATTGGCATTGTGGAAAGAAACTGTGCAGTGATCCTCACAGCAAAACACTATTTTAAATAATACTATTCAGGTGAATTTCTGAAAAAAAATCTCCGAAAATATTGCTTTGAGCGGTTGCGACAATACATAAAGATTTTACTTGATCGTTTGAGAAGATTTTTGCACAGAGATGTAGCCCACGGTGCTTATTGTCGTTATGGCATCTATCAGGCCGTAAAAAGTTTAAAAACCAATTCAAATTCGCATTAATTCTTCTCGGAAAAGTTTCATCCACGCGAAAATACTGATCTCACACAAAAAAGCTCTATCATTCGTGATAGCCTGCATGGCTTGGTGAGTTTCAATTTCATTATTATGCGGGAATGAGTTAGGCGTACAGAAAGTAGGGCCAGTGCGAGCCTCTGCGAAGCAGAGTGACACACTGGCAGCAATTAACGTCATTTGTCAGTCTTTGCGCAAGCTCCTTAGCTACAATCCAGTGGAAATTAGATGCTTTTTAGCAATAACCCTTACCAATAGAATCTTATGCTTCTTAAAACGGAGGATACCAGATCGCAGAGAGCCGAAACGATATGCATACCAATGGATGCGCTTTGATGAGCTGATTCCAAATCTACCTTTCCTATCTGCTACGAGCTTCTCTAGAAGAAGCTATCGGCATTTGAATGTTTAAATTTAGCAAACATTTAGTGCCCCATCTACAAGAACTACATGTTCAAATACGCTTACTCATGTGTTCGGTGTATGTATGCATCTCTTGTAGTCAGTGTACTCAAAACCTGCAAATTGATCACCCCTAAGCTAGTCTTTAAAGCGCATAATGCACAAAATCTTAAGATCTTACATCTTTGGTCCATAGCTTCTTTAGGAGAAGCTCGTAGCAGACAAAAAAGATAGATTTGGAATCAGCTCATCAAAACGCATCTAACGATGTATGATCGGCTCCCAGATTCGTGTGGTGGTGTATTGCAGACTTTGCCTGATAGCACGTATAAACTTGTTGAACCTCCACGTTATAGCATTGCTTTTCGTACTCTCTCGCTAGCAAAAACCGCCACGCTGTGAGTTGGCAAGACTCCACCCCACACGAGTCTGGAAGCCGATGATACATATCATTTCGGTTCGGCACTGTGACACGCTATCCTTCCCTTGTTAGTAATACTAATGCGAGAATTACACGAATTTCTAAGTTTTGTTTATGAATAAATGACCATCTCAAGAGGGATCTGCGTGTGAAGAGATTTGCTTATAGATCTCCATCTATCGATACAGACGTTCGCAAACTCTCAGAAATTTCGAAAGAAAAACGTGACCTGCTCTAATATAGCAGATGATCGATCACCCCGAACATAACGTGCTTTAGAAAATGAAGTTGTTTGTAAACGTTTGGTCCGTAATCATTCCCATATTGATTTGTTGCAGTTTCTGCTTCTAAGCAGGTTTATTTCTTACTCGTTGGATAGAAGGCAATGACGGTACGTGGACGTGTCTTGCATCTCAGCTTAGTTGACCAGCGCCATGCGTAAGAAGTGATGTAATAGTACAGCTGTAAGAGTAATTGAAGTAAGAAGAACGTAGCGGCTTGATATAGAAGAATAACGAATGTTACATAGAGCAAAACTGTATCAGACTTTTATATTCGTTTATCTTTCTTTCGAGTTCACACTATTCGCTATATAAAGATTCTCTTAGATGTCAGTCATTGATATCTTTGCTCTCTCTAAGCAATAAAAATTATGTTTGAGAACATCAAAAGTTCTTTTTGCTCTTATGACATACATCATAAATAAGTTTCCTTTCTTTGATCCGCTCTCCTTTTAGCTATAAAAAGTAGGCAAAGTGCATTTTACTGTGAATTTTGTTCTGAAGAGACAGCTATGGTTTAAGCTCCCACGTTCTTGCCTGCTGCCGGGAAATACCGTACTCATTTCTCACGTTTTTTACAATAGCGCGGTTGACAGGTGATGAAGTAGCAAAGAAGGTATTACTTTTCATTTTCTACTGCTCATGACTTGCTGTCCGGAGGTGCTGCAGTTAGCTGTGGGTATCATTTTATTTGTTCAAGACCGAGCAAACATTACGCGATTTTACCGTCTCGCAATCCTCAAGAAAAGACCTCTGCGAGTCCATTGCATGCCGACCATTTTGCATTCCGGTTGGGATAGCCACCCTTCATTACTCAGATTATCGCCGGGAGTAGGCGGCCATGCGATTTCTGGGCAAGCGGGCACCGAAAAAACAGTCCGCTGATTTCTTACGGTCCGCTTGTAGATTTTCATAAGAATGTTGAACGACTTCTGGAGACGAACGCTCGGAGAACAATCCTGGCTTTTCATAGATTAGTGGCGGCGCATAGGCCGCATTCTCGTGGATTTTCCGCGAGAATATGGAAAATTTTTAGGGCCGCACGGTCCCTGAAGGACCGCACAGCTTACAGGTAGCTTCCGCTGAGGGAAAGTATCCCAAACTCGGGTAATTAAACCATCGATGACGCCTCTGCCATATAGAGCTTTACCTTTGCTCGGCCTACGCCCGTAACTGCGTAAAAAGAGTCCGAGCGCTCGCTGGATTTATGGCCAGAGCTCGCTGAAAGAAATCATTTGATGAACGCCCGCAGATTCTGTATTGCTTCCCGCTGGCAGAACATGCTACAGTAAGGCTCCCACCAGAGTGCCGATGTTATGCCAGCGCTACGCCAGCATTTCGATCGATACACGTGTATTTCTTTGGGGCGGGGCTAGCTGAGGGCTAACGAAATACGCGTGTATCGATCGAAATGCTGGCGTAGCGCTGGCATAACTTCGGCACTCTGGCGGGAGCCTAAAGGAAGCAACGCCCCTTGAGGTTTGGGGCCACGCTCGAAAATTCTGCTGACCGCCTGCAAAAAAGCGCGAATTTGCGGATCCTGCTCCCGGTAATCATCTGAGAAGTTGAATAGGGGAACTATCACAAGAGAAATGCAAGATGACAGGCATGTACAGAATTATAGAACTCAAAACCACCGGAGCTACCTAACCCGGAAATTAGGCGTCGAAGTAAACAAATGTCTGTATATGCACCATAATTTAAATTTGACTTATTCGACGCCTAAATTACGGTGTTTTGTGGCTGCTGTCTGCTTCTTTAACGGCTATGACGGGACTCATGCGATTACGACATTTCTATTAGGTTGATGCAAAAGTAATGGCCGAATTGCGAATTCTCACTTTGACGTGCTATAACCTTCTAAAAGATCCACATTTCTGAATGCGGCAAAGACCTTCAAAAGCAAACCTTTCAATACAGCGCATACTTATTTATACTCGAACCATAAACGGGAAGAGAAATACGGACTAAAAGACAAAAAATGTTCTTCTGCAAGAACCTTGTTTTTCACAATTCATGACTTCCTTTAAAGTTTTCTAGTATCATAACTTATAATATATATAAAACTCAATGTCTGTGAGGATGTTCGTTTAGTTGTTCGTTCGTTATAGAAACGCGCGCCACTGAACCGATCCGGCTGAAACTTCGCACACGTATGTTTTCGACTCCGCCGGTGGTTTAGACCTACTTTTCGCGGCGATTCGCCGAGCCATTCTATCGATTTATTGATTTGTTTACTCAAACCTAAGAAAATGAAGGGCCATCATGGCAGCCGATCATTTTTATATATAAGCATGTAAGCAGGGGCGGTAAAGTTCATTCTAATCTCAAGGCTGAGGATGCAGCGGGTTCGCCTCAAAGCGCTTTTCGCGCAATGTAGAAGTTAGAAAGTGTAAGTATGTTGGCTTCCAGATTCGTGTGAAGGCGGGCTGCGGACTTCAGTGACTTCAAGGATAAGCTCGACGAGAAAGTATGAAATTTAATGCTTTAACGTAGAGGTTTAACAAGTTTATCCTAAAGATCAGGGAAGTCTGCAACCCGTCTCTTACGAATGGGAGCCGATGACATATTGGTTAAACTAAGGGTCCAAGGTGACACCGGAACTATCAACTAGTAACTTATAATAACGGGCTAAGGTTGTTTACGTGTTTTGTGTGTGTGTGTGTGTGTGTGTGTGTGTGTGTGTGTGTGTGTGTGTGTGTGTGTGTGTGTGTGTGTGTGTGTGTGTGTGTGTGTGTGTGTGTGTGTGTGTCTGTCCGTTACGAAATTCGTAGAGCGAATTCCAGCCAACCTCTTGAGCCCAAATTTTGCACGGTGCATGCTAGCAGCATGAAAGTCCGCTATGCAAAAGCACGAGCGGATCCTTTGACTGGATCCCTCAAAAACTGCGCTGCAAACGGATCCACTTGGCTTCTGAACGGCAAAATTGGGCCTGTACCACCACTTTTTGCAAAGTCATGGATATGATCAACAAGCTAATGTGCAAGCCATGGACTTTAGCCCAAAAAATTGAACTAAAGTTGATTACTTTACAAAAATGGCGCCGAGAAAAATCTGTTGCGAAATGTTCAATTTGCCAAGATTTTACCTAATCATTTGGGAAGATTTTTGCACAGAGATGTAGCCCACGGTGATCATCGTCATTATAGCGACTATTAAACCATAAAAAGTCCAAAAATCGGTTCAAATTTGCATTTATCCTTCTCGGAAAAGTTTCATCCACGCGAAAATACCGATCTCACACAAAAAAGCTCTCGGAATGAGTAGTTGTTTACAATTCATTCGTGATAGCCCGCATAGCGCGGTAAGTTTCAATGTCACTATTATGCGGGAATGAGCAAGGCATATAGAAAGTAGGGCCAGTGCGAGCCTCTGCGAAGCAGAGGTGACGCACTGGTGAATGATAAGTGGCCTATCTTGTAGCCCGCAAGCCAGTAGTACAAAATGCAATAAAAAGAATTCGGACAAAAAAGTTTGCGAGAAAGAAAAAAATTGAAAATTAAAACTTCTCAGTTTTTTCAACATTTTTTCAATGTGCCTCAAAGTCCGGAATATAGAATTTTTTGATTTCCTACGTAAAGAATGCCTGGATGTTTTTGCAAAAACTGCTAATAAATGTCCTAGCCCTACGCTTACAGAATGTGCAAAGCTTCGGCAACTGACTTTTCTAGAAGAAGATCATGGGTCACAAAATGACCGCAACAGCTACCCATGTTTAGGCGCCGATATCTCAGTCTGGATAACTTCAAAAAATACCATTAAGTATGCATAATGTAGACAATTTCTATTACTTACAACAGCTAAATTTTCGAAGAAATCTTACTGATACGCGCTTGAATTCTGGCCGGAAAAGTGAATGCAATGAAATTCTGAATTTGGATGCGGTTATTTGAAGCTCAGTAACTTTATAAGAGATGAGGACAAGAGCCCGTCTCAAGCACCATCAGATAGAGCATGAAAACAGCTTCGCGATGGCATACTACATCTATTGTAAAGAAGAAGTATTGATGGAAAAAAGTTGCCCTGAAAAAAGGTTTGGAAAATCGGCCATTACTTTTGCATTAATCTAAATATACGCTCCAACCTACTACTAGAAAAGGCTGTTAACCTTCGTTTTTCAAATTTTTTAGGTTCCCACAAGCGCCGATTGCAGAGGTCAGTCAAAATGGATTTCACTAATTCGCACTCCTAATCAGCAGCAGGCAGAACGTTAAAGAAAGGACAATGCAAGTCCTGTGATGCGAAGCTTCAGAGACACGCTTGTTTACCCAAATTTGGAAAGTGGAAGACGTACATGTTCTTCTGGATCTTGCCATAAGTTTATGGACGTATTACTCAAGGATTGTTTCTCAAAAATGTATACTCTCGTATTCTGATTAAAGAATTGTACCGTTCTCATAGGCTTATAGTAAACCCCCCTTTAGGGGATCTGCCCTGAGACGGACCTGAGTTGATCGTATGGCGCCTCGGTCTAGCATCCCTCGAGCTATTGATCTAAATGCGGATCGCTTTTCAGGCATAAAAATCTTGCGCGCTATCAAAGAGAAAGCACCTACACCTCTTGTGCAGGTTTGGTCAAACAGGGTGACTGGTACTCAGCCCGCACGACCGTGGTTCGGCGCTGGGCAGTGGCGAATTTTTGCGCATCACTGAGCAATCTTTGATAGCGGCCACTATCTAAGAAAATCGATGACGGCCGCTATCAAGGAATCCACAAACCAAATGAATGCACAAAACTGCGTTTTTTTAACCAAAATTTTATCGAAAATTGAGGAAGTAGGGACAAAATCGAATGGAAATAAATAAAGAGATTGTCGCTCTGAGATGCTTTTGTAGAAAAACCTAAGCAAACTCTGCAAAAAGAAAAAAACCTATTCTTATGTTTTTTGCCGAAGTCAGCTCTTCATTGATTCTTTTTTTGGCACCGATATTGTGCAGTTTTGCGCGTTCTTGTACTGCAACAATACGTCAAGTACGATGTCCCATAAGTTACTCACGAGCAACTTACGGGATTTTTCTCTGCGTCTCATCCCTTGCACACTATTTCGGTCAGTTCATCTCAAAATCTCAAAATCGAGGCTGCTTTTACGGATTTCGGGTGAATTCATCGCGGCACATGCCCTGATGCTAACCCTTCAGATCAGGTCGCATTTTTAAGCATGTGAGAGTGACCGCTAGTCAGTTTATCTCAAATACCTCAACTCAACCTTACAGTTGGGATCATCTGAAGTGAAGTGGGGTTTACTACGGGCCATAGAGTGCTTTGCAGCGGACATTTCTTATGGAAAGACAGGCCCGTTCGAAAAAACTTTGCTCGGTGCATATATGAGTGTACGCCATCAAAACCGTGAAAGTCTTCTTCCCGGTATCGCTCGAAATTGTATTTTTCGAAGAGTTGACACCAATGCAAAAGATATCATCTCACCTCTCTCTATAAATCGCAATGTTCGAGATGTTGATTATTGATGTTTGATTACTTCTACGTTCTTCACTACATAACAAAAAGTCTTTTCATTCAGTCTTCAATCCAGCACCACTGTCTTCAGGTTCCAGACTCTATCAAAATGAGTGCCAGGATACGGAGCGATGTCCAATACTTAAGCTCAAAAGCCTATACTTTCACTTCCCTTTTTTTCACGTCAAAAAGAAAAACGTATTTCTATGACTATGAGATTTGAGGACGCCAAATGTTGTCTGACAGGTCGTTTGTTTTCTCTGTAAAGCTAATTAGTGGATTATTCACGCTGAAGAACTGCAGTAACGGCAGTGTCAACTGAGTACACATGCGTAGAGCTTTCTCGAATCTTCTCTACGACAAGTAAATGAAACCTTAACAGAGGCTCAAGGTAGGCTACCGACATGCAAGGGCTCAAAAAGTTTAAGGATAATTAACGTTGCCTCAGTAATCCTTTTCTGGACTTGCATCAAGCAAGAAAGCGCTTTCTAGACAAAATGTAACAACAAGATAGGATAAATGCTGCATGTATGAAAAAGATTCTGTCTAACGATGAGTCATTTGTAGCGAAGATACAGAAGACCTATACGAAATGATGCTTTTTTCATTTGCTGCAAGGTATCCAAGTTTGAATGAACCTTCCTTATGCAGACTTCTCACCGACTTCGAGCTCAAAAAGCTATCGTCCCGATACCGGTAAAATTGTTTAGCATAGAGCATCGTGCTGAGACGAGAATCGTTCATGCATACGAAATCGTTTTTGTAGGCTTTTGACCGTTTATATATCTCAACAACTTCAACATCGATGCTAACTTAAAACCAGGACTATCCCGGCATGCGAAGAGCACACGTGACTACGAGCGTAGCGTTGTAGGCTTAAATGAGGCTCTGTATCAAAGTTCCTCATAAAGAACTTGCATTGTCCGCTCTCTGAAGTACTGTCTGTTGCTGATTAGGAGTTCAAGTTAATGAAATCCTTTTGACTGACTTCTGCAACCGGCGCTTTTGGAAACGAAAAGTTGGAAAACAAAGGCTAACAGTTTGATTCCAACGGCAGATTATCGCGTAAACAGAAATGCGATCATCGTATGAAGAGCACCATACAGCCGCCAAATACCTTGACTTTTATAATTCTGTCAGGCATGCAATAGATTCGTGACAGTTATCTTTTTGGGTAGATCATAAGGCGATGAAGGCGTGATGTATGCCCGACTTCTTACATAGAAAGAAACAAATACATCTTGAAGTTGCTACAATTATTGAAAACAGTGTTGGGCGCCTCGCATCTGCTGTCCCCATAATCATAAGAGGTCTTAGCCTTAGAGGTCTAAGTCATTGCCCTGAAACGGCAGCTCACACCTGTCACTCGTGACCTTGTGACCGAACACCTCAAAATTCTAAAGACCATACATCCTACTGTACCATTTGATTCAACTGGCTTGGCATCGGCAAAGGCGGGGCTTCATGACCTAATTAAGGCTAGGCAATGATCAGAGAGCACTCGCGCGAGAGAGACGCAGGTGCGTCGCGGGCGCGAGCGGTCTTAATCAAATCGCAAAACCCCGCCCTAATGGTGCCAAGCCAGTTGAATCAAAGGTTACTTGGGGGACGTTGATTGGTTTTTGAAAGGATTGATCTGGGTTAAAGGCGTAAATAAATCATGTGGGATCCCGCTTAGCTCAAGTATATTAAAAAATGGTGGGAACCAATAGTAGGCTTTTTGAGGGTTTCGCTGTGATGGTTGACCACAACCATAACACCGAAACCCTCAAAAAAACTTTGGTCTAATTTGCTACATTCTAAATCTTATTATCTCCAAAATTAAAAGGAAAGTACACATTTTCAAGCACAAGCACAGGATCTTCCATTCAGTCATCTATAGAGATGAACGTCCTTGCACATCTGCAATTACGAATGACTTGAAGGATCTTTTAGCAAGAATTTTCCGTTGCAGATTCAAGGAGACAACGATGCCGCTCTCAACATAAATGATCAGCCACATGATAATGAGCCTAACGAACCGGTTTGTTGCATTTAACTGATATTTCATGTTGAGCATGCACTGTACTAGCACAATCAAAAAATTTGTTTCGCACAGTGCTCGCATGCTAATACTTATAACCACATATATGCGTGTCATATACGTCACCTATAGGTGACAAAATCTCGTTCTACAAAAATAACGTTTACTTCAGTATAATATTAGGTTGATGCATAATTCCTGCACCAAAATAGGTACAACCGCAATAACTCGGAATAATCCTATATCCCAAGTAGGATTCGATATATCATTTGATAGCGCAAACCTAGCTCTACAAGATAGTGCTCAAATATCTACACCAGCTTTGATCCACGCGAAGTTTTGAGCCAAAAACTGAAAAAAACCATGCGTCCGAAAACCTTAAGACAGATCTTAAAAAAAATTGTAACTTCGTTCAAAAAGCTCATACAAATCTTCTTTCTTGATCACGCGTAGACGTTCCACGTAAGACATTTATCTATGCGGTTGCTGTATTTTTTTCTCAACTAGACGATGAGAAAACGAAGTTTTTCATGTTTTTTCCAAAACAATGCTGAGATGTTCTAGCACTGACAGTTGTATACTATAGAACCTTAGAAGCGTGAATGTGAATTTTCAGCTCTTTAGAGCAGCTGGTTTACGAGAAATATCGGATTTTTAGCAACTAGGCAAGAAAAATTTGGATAAGGAGAGCTAGAGATTCGTTATTTCTCGCGAACTAGCAGTTCTAGAAGGCTGAAAATGTAAAGTTTCACTGCTAACGGCATGTACTATACAACTGTTAATACTAGAACATCTCAGCACTAATTTGGCAAAAACATGAAAAACTTCAAAAAGCTTCGTTTTTTCATCGCCTAGTTGAGAAAAAAATACAGCAACCGCATAGATAAATGTCTTACGTGGAACGTCTACGCGTGATCAAGAAAGAAAATTTGTATGAGCTTTTTGAACGATGTTACAATTTTTTTAAGATCTGTCTTAAGGTTTTCGGACGCATGGTTTTTTTCAGTTTCTGGCTCAAAACTTCGCGTGGATCAAAGCTGGTGTAGATATTTGAGCACTATCTTGTAGAGCTAGGTTTGCGCTATCAAATGATTTATCGAATCCTATTTGGGATATAGGATTACTCCGAGTTATTGCGGTCTGTACCTATTTTGGTGCAGGAATTATGCATCAGCCTAATAGAATGAAAATTTAGTGATTACATCTTCGAAAAAGATCCTTGACAGAGAAGATTCAAAATTGAAAAGAGTACAAAAAGACTGTTTCGCAACATCATTCACCTCAAGATAGAAAGTTATCAAGAATCTTCGTTTTCTCATACGTAAAATATATCTAAAAAAGCTGAGTCAAAAAAACATGCTTTGCAAAAATGTAGTTCGATAGATATACCGAGCTTCAATAATTCAAAAAAACCCTGTTTCCTAATCAAATCAGTCAATTAGACAAAAGAACAGCATGACATTGAAAATAGACAAGAAGAAACTATGTGCACCAATTTGTTCAAATTGGCATATACAGGGTGTCCCAAAAAATGTGCCTACTGTTTGATTGTAAATAACTCTGCTGTAATGAAGTGTTTCGAGAAGCTTTAGGTACCGTTCTGTAGAGCGAGGTTAAACTTAGATTTAGAGCATGGAGCGAATTACCGATCGCTCTTCATTGCTGTAGGATTACGGTACGAACTTCCAGCATATGGAACCAATGTGAAATATACCACCTAATAAAATTTGTCTCAAAAAATCTGAATAATCGTGTACTAGGGTTTTCGCGCATGCTAATTCCAACTCACAACTTTTTACGAGTGTTTCCAGCTTTTTTGACAATGTAATCACGTTTTTGACAAGTATTGGGAATTTAATTATTAGGGTTTAACCGGGATAACTTTGGAAAGAAGCATCACAGTAAAGTGAAAATTTCAGATTCAAAATCAGCGGCTCTCGTTACTGTAGTATATGAGTTTTTAGCTTGTTTGGTTTTGTTCCGAGGCATAATAAAGCCTCCAATGGCCCAAAATCCTTGTCGAAGTTCGTACCGTAATCCTACAGTAATGAAGAGCGATAGATGGTTTGCTCCATACTGTAAATCTAAGTTTAACCTCGCTCTACAAAATGGTACCTGATGCTTCTCGAAACACTTCATTTTAAGAGAATTATTTACAATCAAACAATAGGCACATTTTTTTGGGTACCCTGTATTTAGCTTCGTAGTAAGAGGTAGACGCAAAGGAAACTTTCTTCGATAATGATCCGATTACTTTCGCATCGTGGAGTCATTTTTTCTGACAGAGTCAGAAAAATAAACTATATTTGCAAAGGAGTTATTCACTACATCATAGAAGGAGAAATCTCCAAAACGGAAGAATAACGACAAATTTTCCTTTAAAAAGAAATCTTGCAAATACTACCTTAGTGTAAATAATCCCCCCCCCCCCTCCCACGCGCCCTATGCACGAATCTGACTCAGAGCGCTTCGGCTGCAACATCATCAACCGGCGCAAGAGTGGCTACCAGTCTGTACACTGCAAGGATTTGTATATGCAAGGATAGCATTAAGTTCGGTGAGGTGGTGTCGAGATCAACGGCGTTTAATAGGCATTAGCAGTCAGGCCTACTGCTGTGATCCAGTAACATTCGAAGGCTGTTGCTATCACGAATTGTTATGCTAAAAGACTCTACACTGATCAAAACGTGAGGTTTTTTGTTGAGTAGCCAAACATGCAAAATAGCAACATCAAGAAAGTTCACTTAAATTCAAAGCACCCGCTTAAACAATCGACTAATAGCTTATTCAAATAGTTACAAATTCGAGAGCTATATTTTTCAAAAGTAGGAATGTGTGACTAAGCCAAAGCATTCTGGCAATTCCGAAATCATCTAAATTACCATTGCGTCACCTCTGCTTCGCAGAGGCCGACACTACTAATAACAATTGCTTATTGAATCTATTATGGCTTGATGGTGATCGTAGAGAACAGTGGCCATCGTGAGCTAATTTCTGAACACAATTCTCCGTTTATTGATTAGAAGTTAGAAAAATCGAGGATTCACTCAACTGTTTCTTTTTGACGCCGTTTTCAGATGAAAAATTTCTTGGCAATTTATTGCATCGAACTCCATGATCAAATCTTGCATGTGCCACAAACCTGAAACTTCGCTAAAAGTGGTGATAAGATCCGCTTCTGCGGGTCGGAAGCCATGTGGACCCGCTCGGCAAGCATTTGTGAGGGATCCGCTTATTGGATCCGCTCGTGCTTTTGCATGGTAGACTCACATGCAGAGATTTGGCCGGAATCTGGCTCACAAATTTTATAAAAGACTACACAAACACATAAAGTCACGTAAACATCCTTGACCCGTTACAAGTCATGATGGACAATTCGTCGAGCAAGGTTCTCATCATGATCCTGGAAAACGTCAACCATATCTTGTCAAAAACTGAGTTTGAAAGTGTCCAAACTTAAACCTCAAAACTTATAGCACTGCTCTAATTCTTACTTGAAGGACAATGCTCCGCCTCGTCGCACCCTCCTCGACTCTCTTAGAAGCTTCACGACAACTCTCTTCTCGGAAGTATCTTTTTCCATAAACTTGAGTGTTCAAGATCCGGTAGCTATTTTCAGACTGCCCTCAAATTTCACCTGTTTGCGTACTGGTTATTCTGCCTATTCGATATGATTGAGGAGCAACCACATAGTGAGTTGTGCGACCTTTTATTGGAGTCAGTACCCGAAGTACTCTCATACTACCGATACAGCTACACCCTTAGCATGGAAAAATTCTCTCCTTGCAAATAACCACAGTTTCCTTCCTTTCGAGATTCATTGTTGCAGCCGCCATCTACTACAAAACAAACAGACCATTTTATTGGCAGCGTCCTAAGTCTTGCAACTTGGTTCGGCTGCCGTAGTTGTTCGGACCATACTCGCCCGCGCAATTTGCCTGCCAACTCTCAATTGGCGTTCACTTTTTAGAATCATATATGATGGTTAAAACAACGCTTCTTTTTTCATATATAATTCCAAAGCTAGTGTGTACCCCGGGTAGCTTCCCATAGGCATCTCTGCGCTGCACACGCAGCGTGGCGTGAGTTGAGCTGCCTTTCAGGCGTCCCCGTGCTTTCGTGCGCTTTCAAAGTTTTCGATTTTCTTCTTTTTTCGCTCTTTTTTTCTCATAACTTCTGTATCAGGCGAGAAAGTTTCAAAGACGGCCGATAGCAGCTGCAACGCACCGTCTTTCCTTTTTCTAAACATGTTTGAGGAGTCAAACCAGGAAAGGCTCGATCTGTGGGTTGCTGCAGCACCTTTCTTGGGTTTTTCTCCCAGGTTGCCTCAACTTCTGCTCGAGGACTCGCTGAGGAGCTGCAACCAAGTGAGGTAGCAACATACTAGATCTTAGCAAAATTCTATTTGGTGAAATGCCATATGAAAGAGCTAACATGTGCATATCTTATGACTAGTAGACTCGCGATTACTCTGCACACACTGTAACAAGCTCAGTCTCGTGTTTAGCAAGTTTGTCGTGTACTTGGAGTGTTCGTGCTTGTGATTTCCTTCTAGGATTACGTGCAGCATGGAGACACAAATGAAAAAATTTGATTTTGTTCAGACACTGCGTGCAATGCGGTCTTGAGTCTCCTAGATATAGAATACAGGATACCTTGCGTCTCACTGACATATTATGAATTGGACGCTTTCGATTTTTTAGACTATGTCAAAGAAGGATTTTTTCGTTCACGAGCCTACCTAGGTGCAGTACCTCGGCATCCTCAGGCAACAGCTGAAAAAGAGGTTTTTGCAGCGACCGGCAGACTGAAGTTGAGTAACGGGAGGACGACGCTCTGCTGCCGTTATCGGTCATTCTCATACATCCTCTTGCCTGAAATAGAGAGTATAAGAAGAAAAAAGAAAGAGGAAGGATATAGCCGGAACCTTTGAAAGAACACGAAAACGGGGAGCGCCTGAAAGGCAGTCCAGCGCACCTGCGTGCGCGGCGTGGGGGTATCTATGAAAAGCTGGCTGGGGTAGACACCAGTGGCGCACCGAGCCCCTCCCCCCCCCCCCCCCGAGAATGGGTCGCGAAATTTTTGAAAGTTACTTACATGAGTTATAAAAATGTGCAAGTGATTTGTTTGTACTTGTAAGTAATTGAGATATTTTTTAATTTTTTTTAAATTCATTTTAGCCTTCTAAAAAATTTATTCGAGGGGGGGGGGGGAGGTGGGGAGGGGTGGCTGACACCACGCCCCTTTTTTTAGAATTTCGGGGTTAGGGGCCCGCAAAAATCTTAGGAAGCATACCGAAAACATCTTTGGAGTGCGTGGCTAATGCCCCCCCCCCCCCCCCCCCGAAAGGAGTACGCCAATGGTACACACTACATGAAGCTGTTGTCTTTACCATGCGATGTAGGCTAAACTACTAATTTCGGTTCCACAGTCTTCTCTCAGGCATGGCAGAATTTTGATGAAGCTTTATCGCTAAGAGACAAGAAGATGAGATACCCGTTGAGATCGAGATCCTCTCCGGACGACATATCAATAGCCTTTCTTTGAAGCGATAATGAGCAAGACTGCACCTTTGAAACCATTTGGTTTTTCCGGAAGGTATATATTGTAGTAGAGCGTTTCTTAGAAGATAGGAACTCGAAAACAGAAGTTGAAATAAAGCAATTCAAACAGGGCTTGTTCGCAAACGCAGATCGACGCTATATAAGGCGAAAGCTTGCAATAAAGTCGCAGAGGCAAGATGTGATGAGGTAATCCGCATGATATCTTGAAGTGCCAATTTCAAATATATTTCTCCTCTCGGCGGACCATTTCTAATAAAGTAAGAAATAAGTCATAAATTATTTCGCAATCTTCATAGCGTCGTACTCTGTCGGGAGTTTTGCAAGAAGTGCTTCGCACTAACGTACACAAACTTTGGCCCTCCCTCAAAAAAAAAATTCTGCAAGTGGGGAAGCAGATTTGAATCCAGCTTTAAGCTCTTAGTATTAGCATATGTTTTGCGCTGATCGGACACTCTGACTTGCCTACCATGTTAGGCCCGAATGCGCGTACGTCCCGCTGGGAAGGGGAATGAAGCTGTATTACGTCTTATATCTCGCCCATGCTCTGGAGATTCTAATTTTTTTTACCCATTTTTTAGAAGCTTTACTGCTCTACTGCACTGGCATAGTGAATGATAGTGCATGGCCATATAAGCTGTTTATCGTCATTTTGCATGATCCGAGGAGGCCTAGGGCTACTTTTCCAAATCATTTATTCACAGACTCAGTGAAAACTTCGTAAATGTGCTGAGGGGCTATTAAAGAAGTTTTACGCAGTATTCAACAGAAAGAAGTGGAACACGGAACAGGGATTTTCGATACTATTCGTTAATCAGGGTTTAACGACTAACTAACAACGTCAAGCTTTGAATGTGGCACGCTACATCTGGGGGGGGGGGGTTGAGAAGTCGGAGAAGGGGCATCGGAAAGGGGGGGGGGGGGGCGCAGAGGTCGTTATCGAAGTCAGGAGGGCGTTTAAAGGCATCTCCAGCTGAATCTGGAGCCATTTCACGCGAAGAGTAATTGTGGGGCCTAATCAAGGCACTGCTCACACGACACCGACGCCTGCGGCTATGTTTTCATCTCAAGACCGGACCTAAACGTGAAAAAGCGCGACTTGTGCACAACAATCCGCTATTGGCCGCCGCCCACTTGAGGTTCGGCCTGAGCAGAATTGTGGGTACTTCAACATACGGTCTTCCTGAGTCCCCTGCCCACCTCCCTTGAATTTATTCCTTTCTTATGTATTCTAATCTTTGTTGTTGTCTTCACTCGCCATTACTCTTGCTTATACTCATTATTCGTTACATTTTATTCATTCCATAGTCTGCATTCTTTGCACTTTTTGCCTTTTGTGCCTAATCAAAGTATGTATTTACTCTTTAGAAAACTCCGTTCGAAAAGGGTTGTCACTAGAGAGAGCATGCCACTCCAAAATAGTCTCTCTGTAGCGTTGTGGTTTCAAAGTCATATCAAGGTAACTAATGACAGGGTTTAGAACATTATTTTATAACATCAGTATAAATAAACGGACAACTTGCATCATGCCCGTTGTTTCTGGTTCATACCAGGACCCACCATTTCGTGGATCCTCGCGCGAAAGCATGCATGCACGATGCAAGCCGTCCGTAATGCGTGCGCTGTCCAGTTTGGAGGCGGTCCCTCAGCAGTGCGCGGATCATTTGCGCTGCCGCTTGCGCAGTGTTTTAGTCAGGGCCGAAGCAGTTATCCGGTGATGTTATTTTCATGTATGCACGCTGCCTTCAACAAAAAAGCGGTTTGCAGCTTCTCAGAGTTCTGCGACAGTCGCTTGCTGGATTTGACTGACAGTAAGCAAAACATTGTAATGAGTGAGCGTGACATTGAAATAGCATGCCAGATACCCTTCCCATATCGTAGAAGAGCCAAGCGCATTCTGAGATATTGACATTACCGTGCCACCGTAAACTTGGCAAAATGGTCCCTTTCATGCTAGTTTTGTTTTTCGAAATCGGGAACTTAATAATCCATGCGCACCAAGCTTTAGCGAGTTCTCACGTTTTAGACTTTGTGTAATCTAAGTGGCTATTTTCAAGCACAGCCAACTCGTCAAAATTTGAGTACGCCATTCTTTTCTAATTTTAACAAAACACGACTTTTCAATGGTTCATGTTTCATGTTTTCATGTTGTTGTTTTCAATCCCCCTCCCCCACCTCCCCTTACTGAGTTGAAGGTGGAGTTAGGTATCGCCTCCAAATGTGCATTTTTGCGCTTTCAGTGTCGCGCTCTATCAGTTGTCATTGAGGCAAATGAAAGCAAACCTGGCTGAAATTATTCGCATTGGAATTACGACGTTCAGACTACTGTATGCCATAAATCGTCTTCCAATCTTTTTTTGATAAAAATTATAGAGAATGGCGCAAACCCAAAAAGTTGCCGCAGCTTCATCTTTTTAAGTTTCATTAACTCTTGCTATCCTTGAGACTTTCCGTAAGAATTCAATAAGACTCGGTAACATAAATTCGTAGAATAAAAACCAATTTGAGCCTGATTCGACCTTATTTGTCTGAGAAGAGTTTGAAGCAGCCACTGCAAGCTAACAATGCAACGGGATTTTGGCTGGCCCTCAATTGCGCTGTTTGAAAGTTACTTGAAGCAGGATTTTTTTTTCGAGTAAGTTAGTGCTAGAGAGTGAGAAACGGTTTGCATGACTGGCGTGTTAGACAAAGTTAAATATATTAATGACTATTTAACTTAGGTGGAGTGGCTAGCGGTATGAACAGGTCGGACGAGGGTTTGATCCCTCTCTTGAGTTGACTACGTCTACCTTCCGCTAATATAATCGTCGGAGTCAAGCCAGGGGTGCGATGCGTGGAGCCGGGCCTTCCAAAAGTGAAGGTGGTAGTGCTGGTCACTCACCTCCCAAGAACTCCGACCGGGGGGGGGGGGGGGAGGGAGATTTGAAGGTCGATGTCAACGGGCGGGGGGGGGGGGAGCACAGCTCGACGTCACTTTCGCAAAAAAATTTCCTTCTACAAAGCTTTCAAGCTTTTCCACTGATCAATAAAAAGGAAAAACAAAAAAAAAACAAATTTAACGGGCTGATAAAAGCTTTTTTCTCGCTATTTTGCTTTTAGGAACTTGCCGTAGCCTATTGCAAGCACTGCGAGCACTAGAAGGCCATCCTGGCATGGACGCATCAGCACTTCCCACAATTTCAGAGGACGAAGCTTCTTAATGAATTTCAAGAGCGCTAACCCAATAGTCCTCTTTAGGGCCACAAATACGATGAGTACAGCGGCATAAATATTAAACAAACGTGTTAATCAAATGGTGTATCTGTAAGTAAAACTCAGCTAAACTTTACGTATTTTATCAAGTAAATTTTGTCATAACGTACTGCGAAGAAAGCAGGTTGATCCAGGCAGTAACCGCCGACAACCAGAATTTCGAATAATAAATTAGTAAAATATCATGCCAAAGTTTCACTGTTATAAATCTAGTGGTTGAAGATGTCAGCAATCGCGACTTCATGGGTTTTAAAGGGTAAGGTGTTCTACCAAATAGTGAAGAAATCAGGTCGACTTAAGTAGTGGCCGCTGAGAACGAGAATTTTGAAAAATTAAGCGATTTTAGGTTACTTAGTGACAGCTGACGTTCAGACTCCTATAAATCTGGAATGTGAAAAAAGTGCAATGTAGCGACTTCATAAATCTTGTAGAGTAAGGATTGCCCTATCAGAATGTGTCTTAGCCGTACCGATCCATTGACATACCGCTGAGATCCACGCTCTTGAAGAAACAGGTAAAAAACCGCTTTTAGGTTTTTTTTGAAAGACTTCAACAGCTCATAACTTTTTCAGAATTGCATGAATCATGTTAAGACTTCATGGGCTAAATTCTTCTTTTTAAGAGCTTTCAGGTGATATAAATATATGGGGAGTTCAGTGATTTTTGCTTTACCCGAGGTGGAGACTTTTCATCCCAAAGTCTCCACCTCATCCATATCAATGTATTGGCTGAAGGCCGCCAGTGGAGAATTTGTGATGAAAAGTCTCCACCCCGGGGAGCCGCAGAAATCACTGAGCCCCCACATATTATTAGGTTGATGCATAATTCCTGCACCAAAATAGGTACAGACCGCAACAACTCGGAATAATCCTATATCCCAAGTAGGATTCGAAATATCATTTGGTAGCGCAAACCTAGTTCTACAAGATAGTGCTCAAATATCTACACCAGCTTTGATCCACGCGAAGTTTTGAGCCAAAAACTGAAAAAAAAACCATGCGTCTGAAAACCTTAAGACAGATCTTAGAAAAATTGTAACTTCGTTCAAAAAGCTCATACAAATTTTCTTTCTTGCTCACGCGCAGACGTTTCACGTAAGGCCCCGGGCAGACTTCACGCGATTTGATCGTCGCGACTGAGTCGCGACGAGACAACTGTTACAACATCATTCCATGCCGATCAACTTGCATTCGGTTGTAATACTTCTCCAGCCCGACATTTTTGAATGTGAAATGAAAATGAATGGAAATCTTGGCGATTAGATCGCGACTAAGTCGCGTGAAGTCTGACCGGGGCCTTACGTGAAACGTCTGCGCGTGAGCAAGAAAGAAAATTTGTATGAGCTTTTTGAACGAAGTTACAATTTTTCTAAGTTCTGTCTTAAGGTTTTCGGACGCATGGTTTTTTTTTCAGTTTTTGGCTCAAAACTTCGCGTGGATCAAAGCTGGTGTAGATATTTGGGCACTACCTTGTAGAGCTTGCGCTATCAAATGATATATCGAATCCTACTTGGGATATAGGATTATTCCGAGTTATTGCGGTCTGTACCTATTTTGGTGCAGGAATTATGCATCAACCTAATATATATCACCTGAAAGCTCTTGAAGAGGAGAATCCGACCTTTGAAGTTGCAACATGATTCATGCAATTCTGAAGAAGTCATAAGTTGTTGAATTCTGAAAAGGGTTTTTTACCTGTTTTTTTTTCAAGAGCGTGGATCTCGGCGGTATCTCAATGGATCGGTACGATGGAAAAATAATCTAATAGCGCAAACTTTAATCTACAAAACCTATGAAGTCGAAGTTGCTGACATCTTCAACCACTAGATTTATAACAGTGAAACTTTGGCATGATATTTCACTAATTTATTATTCGAAATTCTGGCTGTCGGCGGTTACTGCCTGTATCAACCTACCTTCTTCACAGTACGTTATGACAAAATTTACCTGATAAAATACGTAAAGTTTAGCTGAGTTTTACTTACAAATACAATTTGATTAACACATTTATGTCAAATATTTATGCAGCTGTACTCATCGATTTGTGGCCCTAAAGAGAGCCGTTGGTTCACAGTTGTTGGCCCGAAGAGACCACTGGATTAGAGCTCTTCAATTATCCGAAGTCATCGTGAAGCTTTGCTCTCAAAACCGTAGAGAGTGCTGAGGCGTAGATGCGTCCATGTCGGTGATGGCCTTCAGGTGCTCGCAGTAGGCGACGGCGAGTTCCTAAAAGTGAACTATATAGAAATATGCTATCAATACTTTCTTTTGCGTTCGTTTTGCTTTACCTTCACTTTTTTTAGCTTCAGTAGAAAAAATTCCAAAATCCGAAAGTGAAGGTGGGTGGTGGTCACCCTGTAATAGCTCAAAAGTGAAGGTACTCAGACAATCGCTGGGGGCAGGCGGGCACCGGAAAAATAGATTGCTGATTTCTCGCACCCCGCTCGCGGATTTTTTGCAAAGCAATCAGGACTTTTCGGAAGACCGCTTGCTGAGTCAGCGGATTTTTGAGAGACCGCCTGTTGAATTTTTTTTCGCTCTTATCTTTTGCAGATATACTGCTGAATCTTTGAGGAATCGAGAACTCAACAAGCGGTCTTCCGAAAAGTCCCGATTGCTTTCCAAAAAATCCGCGAGCGGAGTGCGAGAGATCAGCAATCTATTTTTCCGGTGCCCGTCTGCCCCCCGCGATTGTCTGAGTAGGAGGAGACTCGGCTGCGACTATCGCACCTCTGGGTCGGGCGGTCCGCAAACTTGCGCTTTTTGCAAGCGGTTAGCAGAATTTTGGGGCGTGGCCAAACTTTCAGCGGGCGGTACTTCCTTTACTGTCGCATGTTCTGTCAGCAGGAAGCTATACAGCACTCTTTGCAAGCGCTCGGCAAATAATTTCTTTCAGCGAGCGCTGGCCATAAATCCAGCGAGCGCTCGGACTCTTTTTACGCAGTTACGGGCGTAGGCCAAGCAAAGGTAAAGCTCTATATGGCAGAGGCGTCATCGATGGTTTAATTACCCGAGTTTGGGATACTTTCCCTCAGCGGAAGCTACCTGTAAGCTGTGCGGTCCTTCAAGGACCGTGCGGCCCTAAAAATTTTCCATATTCTCGCGGAAAATCCACGAGAAAGCGGCCCCTGCGCCGCCACTAATCTATGAAAAGCCGCGATTGTTCTCCGAGCGTTCGTCCAAAAATCGTCCAACATTCTTATGAAAATCTGCATGCAGACCGTAAGAAATCAGCGGACTATTTTTTCGGTGCCCGCTTGCCCAGAAATCGCATGGCCGCCTACTTCCGGTAATTTTCTACGCGGAAATGGTAGACAATAGATTAGTTTCACGGTAATCTGGGAAGACGAAAATTGATTTGGTAATCGTCTGCTCCCTCCCCCTTCCCCCTTTCAAGCCTTTGTAAAGGCTAGCAGGCATTCCGTTGCCTAAATACAAAGTAGAGTGGGTTCGGTGCATTGAAGAGGTGCATCGATAATGTTTTCCAAATCTTTTATCTCTTTCATTCATCATTTCACTCACGTTGCCCAAGATTTGCAAACCCGTGATCCTCTGAGGTTGGGTGTTCAATGCTTACTTGACATGCTGATAGCAAAGAGATACAGTTGTGAAAGAGCCTGGTTATGCTTGAGATGAGTGCGATCGATGACATGGAATGATCGCATCCGGTCGTGCGACATATTTATCGCTCGCCTCTGGTAGTAAGTTCCACATGACATCTTTCTCGAGGCAGCCATGATAGATCCTTGATGTATTTCATCAAACCTTCACTGAGTTTGGAAAGAGATAAATTTTGAAAAGGAATGCTCCCTAGGGATCTCTGGGATCACATAAAACATCTAAAACTCAGTTTTCATGACAATACACTAGCATTCATTACGCAAAGGTATGAGGTTAGTATAGCTTCTAAAAATGAGTAGAAAACAAGGGCTAAAGATTCTTGGAGCAACGAGATATAAGGCGTTTCCTCACAGCAATTCGCCCTTTGGATGTATACTAGCTTGCAGGCCTGGGTGAAAAGCTTAGAGTGAGCTACATTTTAGGAGCTTGAAACAGTAAGGCCCCGGACAGACTTCACGCGATTTGATTGTCGCGACTCAATCGCCGACATTTCCATTCATTTTCATTTCACATTCAAAAATTTCGGGCTGGAAAAGTATCACAACCGAAATGCAAGTTGATCGGCATAGAATGATGTTGTAACAGCTGTCTCGTCGCGATTCAGTCGCGACGATCAAATCGCGTGAAGTCTGTCAGGGGCCTAACGCTTACACTCATAAAAGTACCACAAAAAGCGTTTTTTAGCGTGTTCATAAAAGTTATGGTAGTCTTTCTTGAAGTAAGCGTGACACAGTGTAGTAATGACCAAACATCCAAATCCTAGAAACAAGCGTCGAAAAAAGTAAGATAGGCATTTTCTGATTTTTTAGGTCTACATGTAATTAAAGTCATGCTAGTCGCAATGGCAATAATATTTGCTTTACTTGCAACGGTTACAAGAGCTGTTTGCTTATTTTATCCATTTCTGTGTGTCATCGTGAGTTCTTCATCATACAATATGCTTAAGTATATCTGCTACTTTTCCAGGTCTTTGAATTCATAAAAGCTTTGACCGTCTTCCTTCTATTAGCTCTTAAACTTGCGTTCCCTAAGAAGTATTCCCAACTAATCAATATAAGAGGTTTGCGTTCTATTCGGAGAAGCATCGATAAATACAGATTGAAGGATTAAATCATCTCCGGATGCTTACCAGAGACTCACGCACTGATGATGAAATTTGCTATGTCTGGAATGGATTCTGTGTGATCTACTTTGTACTTGTGTCGCTCACTTTAATTCGCAATATCGCAGAAATGCAATGGAGAGAGGTTGCACTTTGATTCTCAAAAAACTATAGTCGAGTAGATTTTCTGTTCAATATGGTGTGCTTGCAGTGCCGAGAAAATGAGGTAGAATTAGCGCCTGAAATTAGCTGTGACGGCGACGTCCACCCCTTGCGCAAAATGCCAGTATAACTGGAGTGGTTATTTGTTCACGCGCTTTTTTGCATTTTCTCAGCACTGCAAGCACACTACATTAAGCAGAAAATCTACTCGTCTGTAGGTAATCGTAATTTCAGCGTGTGAGAAGACATCATGATAACGTCTATCCTCCACTTTTATCACCTACTCCGAGAACACGTGTGGTGTTGCCTAGGGAACTTGAAGTAGGAGGTGTGAACACTGATGATCCTCCTCCATACTCGGTTGTGTCACATTTCCCACTCCCTAACTCGCATTATGAAATAGAAGTTTAGTCAACCATGCAGTTGGAAACTGCCAAAGAAGAAACGGATCCGCCCCGATACTCGCAACTGGGTTACTCACCAAGAGGATCTCCACCTGCTCCTGTTATGAGGTTTGTCATTTTCAAAGCCGTTACATATGGCAATATTCTTTTTTGTTTGAGCTCGGAAAGCTCTATAGTCGCCAACGACAAAACAGATGACCGGACAAGTCGAGCACTTTGAAAAGCCCAATTTTCAAGAATCCCGGCCATTATATAGACGCTACGAATTGAAACAAAACGAGTACATTATACAGATTCAGTGCTTTTAAACCATGACGATTATTCTCTCAAGTCAGATCTTTTCTTGCACGTACTTTGTGACAAGTGATTGCTGGATAAATTATCAGAATTTTACTTGGTCATATATGTCTCTTCTAGCCCTCACTTTGCTGGCTCTAAAACTCCTTCCGGAGTTGCCCGAACTGTGTCGGTGCTGAGACAGCTCCGATACATTGCGATGCTGTCTCGCACTGTCTCATCGGCAGTAGAACACGCAACTCTGGACAGAATTTGATTAAGCTTCTTCAGTTAGCACCAGCATGAGTTCCTACTGTTACACTTTATGCTTTTGGCCGGCATATTGTCGAATTCTTTGTTGGTTACAGCATTACAGTTGTAGCGGTGGAATCCGGCCAAAATTTCGAGATTTTCGAGATTTGCGGGAAATGCGGGAGCTAGTTATAACTTCTTATAAAACAATTTCGTTTGAAATCTGCAAGAAGATTTGACTTCACCTTGATGGAACAAATCTTTTAGTACATAATATGCCCGTAGTCTATGGTGATAAGGCAGACTAATGATATACTTTGTTATTTTCAAAATTTGTTTGTATGAGCAACAATACATGTTGATAATCTCATAACGTATACCAATACAATAGAGTGCACCATGGAAAACCGGCATAATGTCTGCTAAAAGATTCGTCTCATCAAGCTGAAGCCAAATCTCCTTGCAGATTACAAATAAAGTTGCTTTAGAAGAAGTTTAAACTAAATCCCGCAAGTCCCGCGAATCCCGAAAATCCCGCAACTTTGGCCGGATTCTACCGCTATAACTGTAGGTCTGCAGAAACAAATTACAAAAAACTCATTTGTAGAACAGTCGTCCCACCCCATTGGACACCTCATAGATGAATTTGAATCTAAACTGGAGAAGACTGAAATGAGACTTTCGCGTTCTACCGCAACCGCGATTGAACGCGAAAGTCTCACTTTGGTGCAAACTTACAAATATTATTTAGTTACCCTTGTTGTCACTTGTCATTCCCTACGTCATGAACAATGTTCATTATAAGAGTAGCCGATTTTGGCATTCTCGAGCGATTTCATAGAAACTATACACGTTGTTCTCGATTGTTCGCTGATTCTAGGTAAGCTCGGACAAACGTTGCAGATCGGTAACAGCTGACCCAAAATTCACGACAGTAAAGTTCGACACATGCTACTTACCAAAAAAATGTACAAGCAAAAAATTACCAATTAATCGTGTAATCGAGTTTACCCGAACTCAGAGTATAACAAACGTGCGTGGAAGTAAGAATCGCTCAACAACAACAACAGATTTCTCGATTTTGGCAAACATTGTTAAAACACACAAATAGCGGTTGTCAACGAGAAAGAGGAGGAAAGCGTTTGTAAGGTTAACACGTACGACAGTGCCGCGCAATGGTGCGCAGCAAACAGTCTGTGCCTATGGACGACGCTGCGCATGCGTGGCACATTGGTCCCGCAAACACCTCTGAGCGCGATAACAGCGCCCACACGCCCTACGCTCTAGGTATCGATAGCATAATGCAATTGCCTGACAAGTCGAGATTGTAGTATGCTATTCGTACGCAGAAATCAAAGAAATTGCAATAAGTGACTGTTCTCGCGTAAGCACGCCCCATTTCTCCATTTTCTATTTCATTATTTCAATGGTTAAAGCAGTATTATTGGGGAAAAGTGCAATGATAAAACAACATCAACATTTCCGCAGCTAATTCAGTTAAGACAATGCCAGCTTCGTGCCAGCCGCCGTCAGAAACTGTATTAGGTTTGAGGGCGGTGCCAATGTACAGGGCGGTGCTAATATTTGAACCGAGAACCGAGCGTAGCGCGTGTGGGCGCTGTTATCGCATGACTTTGATCATGATCATTGCCATTCTGCTGGCCCGTTTTCTGTTAGTGGTCAAACTACAGTCAAAAGCTACCCTTATACTGGGTGTCCCAAAAAGATGTGCACACTGTTTGATCGTTAATAACTCTCTTGCTTTCATGTTTTTTGCCGAGTTTGAGGTTCTGTAGAGCGAGGTTCAACTCAATTTTACAGTATGGAGCGAATCACCAATCCATCTTCATTACTGTAGGATTACGGTATGAACTTCCAGCATACACCGCCAGTGCAGAATAGCCTTCCAATGAAGAAAATTCCGAATAATCTGAAAATTTGTGCTGCTTGGTTTTCAGGCGTGCTGATTTCAACACAATTTCTTACCAGTTCTTCGAGTTTTTCTAGTGGTGTAATTACATTTCTGACAAACACAGGAGAAACATGGCTACCCTAAACATGAGGTAACATAAGAGAAAAGCGCTACAGTGAAAAGCAAATTTCATATTTGAAATCAGCAAATCGACAAATTGGCCCAGTATAAGACTTTGTGGCTTGTTCTGTTTTTTTTCTAGCAGTGGCTGAAATTCTTCTCAAGTTGCTGCCGTAATCCTGCAGTAACGAAGAAAGATTGGAAGTTTCCTCTATGCTGTAAATCTAAGTTAAACCGGGTGGAGGACTATATGTCGCCGAATTTGGAAGAGTCCTGCGCGGATTCCCTGCAGAAACGCATGTCCGCGCATATACAAGGGTGCGCGTTTGTCGCAAATGACCGCGGGGACCGCCCCTTTTCGGCGACATATAGTCCTCTACCCAGTTAAACCTCGCTCTGTAGAATGATACCTCAAGTTTGGCGGAAGACTTTCAGGCAGAGAGTTATTGACGATCAAGCAGTGCGCACATCTTTTTGGGATACCCTGTATATGCTTGTATCACGGCTACTTTTCCAAGAATGAAGGAAATGATGAAAACGGAAAAATGAGGCACTTCTTAAAAAGAGAATATGATTCCTAGTGACTTGTTTGAGCGAACTCTTCCCTTTTTGACTCAACTTTTAACGACTGAGTAATTTTGCATGTTTTTTGCACTCAACATGCACCCAAAAAGCCGCCGATTGCAGCGCCTATCAGCCAAGACTTCGCTGATCCCGGGTTTTGCCTGTACTCTATGTATCAAGCCTAAGACTTACCTGAAATTACTCTTTTCAGTTTATATGCATTAGTTGCTCATATAACACTAAGGCGCACTTAGGATTCAGTTCTCATTTCTTCTTACAAGGGGTCCAAGATAACGCGGTAAAGGCTGGGTTCATACTGATCCCGAAGTTCCGGAACAGTTCCAGCACGGTTCTCGCATTGTGCTGGAACTGTTCCAGAAATGTGAATACGCCGCAGCCACCCGCATGCAGTTCTGAACGGCGCGAACTAGCCATTTGCAATTCTCATCAACGGTTATCATAGTAGATTTCTCGTTTTCGCCCCAGGGGGCACGCGAAAGGCGACAATCGGCGCAAAATGCAAGAGGTGAAACATCCGCCACATTGGATTCCACCGAATTTTACTTTCTGCAATGAGTAGTGTATCTGTCCCCACCCCCACCCCGTAGTCGCCCGCCGTGTCACTTTAGCATCGAAGAGTTTTTGAGAGGCACAAAGTTGGGGATTGTCGCCTTCCGCATCATTCACCTGCACTGATGATGAGATAAGTTCCAAGCTTGGAGAGGAGTGCAAAAATGAGCGCTATTTTGTCATGTACATTCGGCAAAAAATGGGGCTGAGACGCCTAAAAACCAAATCTCATCAAAACACGAAGAAAAATCCGCAATTTTCACAATGGTGGTGGTAGTATCAGTCCTCTTTGAAGACAGCTCGTGATATCGAGTATGCAGCCACATTTTGAAATACAAAAAGGATGTTTTACGAAATTTTACAAATGTACAGGGTGCGCCTAAATTATTTGCGCCAAGATATTTTAAGTAGTGTCACAACGAAGGCAATGAGAAATTTGATCTGGATTCAATGTCGTAGAATGTCGTAAGCGTACTCTATAAAAAGCACTATCAGTATCCTAAATCGGTCTTTATTTAGAGAAGTAAGAATTCCAAGAAACAATGTTCGTTACCGAAAAAACGCAAGCTGACGCATTGTTAAATAGTCAAAATTTTTCATTGAATGCTGCTAAAGATTCCTAACCTCAATGATCTTAAAGTCAAAGATTAGCTCTATTTTATAGCGAAATCTTTATCTAGGAGAAGCGGTCACTGAAAAGATATATGCTGGGCAAGTTTGTGAGATTCTACCCGCGTGCAGCACGCGACAGAGTCAGAAAAATACTATGAATTTCTACAGAAAAGCAAAACAGGCAATTTCACATGTTTCAACTAGGATGCAGTGTTATAGCACCAAGAAAAAATAAAAAGCTTGACCTCTCGCGGAGCTGATCTTGTATTCTTATGGTGCAGCGAGATACACGCGCAAATAATTGTGGCCCACCCTGTAGAAGGAACGCGCGAAGAAAATTACGTTTTTTAGGCACGGCAAAACATGGAAAACTTTATCCTTAAACCTCGCTTCGAACTCGGAAATCTCTTCACCACAAGAAGACGCAAGGTGCAAGAATGAGACAAAATGAGCAGAACATACTATCAAAACCGTTTAAGGAATTTAAAAATTGCTAAATCGCGCCGCTCAAAACCGCACGCGGGCAGCTACAGCGCATGCAGCACAGTCGCGGAACAGTACCCAGCCAAACAACTGACCAGTTCACTGGTCCACTTGCAGCAGCGTCGATATGCTTGCTTGCATCTATGCTGCAACTCGAAAATTCACCGTATATGCAGGTAAACGCTTTCAAATGAGGTTTCTTAGTAATGAGGTAGATGTTGTCGAATAGGATACACGCTGTCTGAGAAAGTCGAAGGTAAATCATGACAAGTTGCGTTTCCAGACCCGAAAGTCGGGACAAATCTTGGCGCCGCGCAAAAACTACCAATTCGCTTGCGACTTCTCATTTTGCGGCGGATCTCCTGTGGGACGTGATTGCGATGTCTGAGTAGGATTGCCACTGAAACATAGCAGGAACCGCCGCGCGATTAGCGCTTTTTACTCATGTCTGAACACATTTCAGTACATTAGCATGTACCATTTTTATTCTCTCAGGAATTTGCAAAACGAATCATTCCTTTTGCTTGCAACGCTGAAGTCGGTGAAATAGCATGGATTTCGACCCTAAAGATGACAAAGCAGCTGGGAAACTAGACAAAGCAGAGGTTAAGAATGTCAGTAAGGTAAGGTATTTTAAGAATATTAGTGTGTTTCGACCATATAAGAAGACATCAATTTTTTTGGAACTTCCATGTATACCGATGTTGTAGAACTTTATCACTGTAACCCTTACCATTTGTTTGTATATGCATTTATTTTGTGCCGAGATGCTCTAAAAAACAAACACCAACACATGTCCAGTTATTCACGTATCAGGTCGACGTCTTGCTTGCCGACCAGACTTCTAGAACAGGGCCCGGCACAGGTCGTCTGGAAGTAGGAAGCAGTCTGGACTTCGTTTTTGGAGCAAAAAGCAAAGGAAATATCGTTTTTGACCAGTTGGGACCAAGCACCAAGAATAAGCGCCGTTCAGTTAAAGAAAGCTTTTCGGGCAGGTTATTACATAACTGACATGCTCTATCGTGAAGAAAAAATGTGCGCGCGATTTGAAAACAAGGCTAAAATAAAGAAATTGCTTGTTTACAGCGCACGCAAAATCACATGGCACCAAAATTGAACACCATACTTGGAAAGTTATTTAGCAAATACTCAGACAATCGCCGGGGGCAGGCGGGCACCGGAAAAATAGATTGCTGATCTCTTGCACCCCGCTCGCGGATTTTTTGGAAAGCAATCAGGACTTTTTGGAAGACCGCTTGCTGAGTTCTCGATTCCTCAGAGATTCAGCATTATATCTGCAAAAGATAAGAGCGAAAAAAATTCAACAGGCGGTCTCTCAAAAATCCGCTAACTCAGCAAGCGGTCTTCCGAAAAGTCCTGATTGCTTTCCAAAAAATCCGCGAGCGGGGTGCGAGAAATCAGCAATCTATTTTTCCGGTGCCCGCCTGCCCCCAGCGATTGTCTGAGTAATTATGCAAAAAGTTTTAGAAACTTATGTGAAGTATTACCTTTTCTAAAAGCCCGCCTCCAGACCAGAGGTGCGATAGTCGGAGCCGATTCTCCGCCTACCTTCACTTTTGAGCTGGTACAAGGTGACCACCTTCACTTTTGAGTTTGAAATTTTTTTTCTAGAGCTTAAAACAAGGAAAATAAGCAGAAGAAATGTAAAAGAAAGTATTAAGAGCATATATCTATGCAGTAGGTCGATCCAGGCAGTAACGCCGAGAACCAGAATTTTGAATGTTAAAATAATGAAAAATCGTGAAAAATCATTCCACTGTTACAAATCTGCTGACTGAAGACCTCCGCAGTTGCGACTTCATAAGTTTTGAAGGGTAAGTGTTGTTCTACCAGACAGTGAAAAAATCAGTTTGATTCGAGGAGTGGTCGCCGAGAACGAGAATTTTGAAAACCCTAAAAATCTCAATTTTAGGTTGCTTAATGACAACTGACATTTAAACTCTTATGAATCCGGACTTTGAAGGTGTGTGATATTGCGACTTCATAGGTTTTGTAGGGTGAGGTTTGCCCTGTCGGAATATGTCTTAGCTTTACCGACCCACTGAAACATCGCCGAGATCCAGGCTCTTAAAGAAGCAGGTAAAAAACCGTTTTTCAGCTCATAACTTCTTCAGAATTGCATAATTCATGTTGCGACTTCATAGATTGGATTCTCCTCATCAAGAGCTTTCAAATGATATAAAATATGTGGGGGATTCACGCCTCCAACGGCATATGCCCGGGGGTGGAGTACCTCTCTTCACTAATTCTCCACTGGCGGCTTCCCGCCAATACATTGAAATGGGCGGGGTGGAGAATTAGTGAAGAGGAGTACGCCACCCCGGGTCAGAGCCGCAAGAAACATTGAATCTCCTACATATATTATATATCGTCTGAAAGCTCTTGAAGAGGAGAATCTAACCTATGAAGTCGCAACATGATTCATGCAGTTCTGAAGAAGTTATAAGCTGAAAAACGGTTTTTTACCGGCTTTTTCAAGAGCCTGGATCTCGATCTCGGCAGTATCTCATTGGATTGGTACGGGTAAAAACCCCACAAAACCTATGAAGTCGCAACATCACACACCTTCAAATCCGGATTTATAAGAGTTTGAATGTCAGTTGTCATTAAGCAACCTAAAATTGAGAAGATTTTTAAGGTTTTTCAAAATTCTCGTTCTCGGCGACCACTCCTCAAATCAAACTGATTCTTTCACTGTCTGGTAGAACAACACTTACCCTTCAAAACCTATGAAGTCGCAACTGCGGAGGTCTTCAGCCAGCAGATTTGTAATAGTGGAATTATTTTTCACGATTTTTCATTATTTTATCATTCGAAATTCTGGTTCTCGGCGGTTACTGCCTGGATCGACCTACTTTCTTCGCAGTACGTTATAGCAAAATTTGTTCAATAAAGTCCGTACAGTTCCGCTAAATTTTACTCCTAAATACACCATTTGATAAGCACGTTTATTTTAGATATTTATGCCGCTGTCTCATAAAAATATGCTTTCAATAATCTCTTTTGCATTTGTTTTGCTTATTTTCCGCGCACTTGTGGCAACGACCTGGAAGGATAGGCTCAGTCGACGTTAACGCTCCCCCCCTCCCCCCCCCCCCGGTCGACGTTTTTGGGAGGTGAGTGTCCGGCACTACCCCCTTCACTTTTGGCCGGCCAGTGGTAGCTGGAACCACCTTCACTTTTGAGGGACCCGGCTCCACCTATCGCACCTCTGCTCCAGACGGTCACCAGACGATCTGAGATCGTCTGTAGCATACAGGGTGTCCCAAAAAGATGTGCACACTGTTTGATCGTTAATAACTCTCTTGCTTTCATGTCTTTTGTCGACTTAAAGTACCATTCTATAGAGCGAGGTTCAACTTAGATTTGCAGAATGGAGCGAATCGTCGATCGCTCTTCATTACTGTAGGATTACGGTAGGAACTTCGAAGAGGGTTTTAAGGCATTGAAGGGCGCAATTTGCTTCAGAAAGAAAGCCAAACAAGTCAGAAACTCTCATACTGGGCTAATTGAAGGTGCTGATTCTAAATATGAAGTTTGCACTTTAGTATAGTGCTTCTTTCATAAGTTATTTCAGATTTAGAGTAAAAACAGTTTTCCCAATGTCCCTCAAAAATGTAAATACGCGAACAAGAAAGTTCGAAAAATTGATGAAAAGTTATGTACTGAAATCAGCACGCCTGAAAACCTTAATACACAGATTTTCAAATTTTTTTGAAATTATTTTATCACAAGGCCTATTCCACGGTGACGCTTTATGTTGGAAGTTCATTCCGTAATCCTACAGTAATGTAAAGTGATTGGTGATTTGCTCTACACTGCAAATCTAAGTTGAACCTCGCTCTACAGAATGGTACCTTGAACTCGGCAAAAAAACCTGAAAGCAAGAGAGTTATTAACGATCAAGTGTGCATATCTTTTTGGGACACTCTGTATATTTCTGTCACTTTACATAAGTCTTGGATTTTTCTATCATGGACTGATTCCTTGGTCAAGAATTTGTCCCTGAGCATGAAAACATTTTCATATCGTTGACTTCCCTTTGTTTTTTTGCCATTGTTTTCGTCATAGATCGCTTTGTTAGATATCGCGCTCCAGTGCCAAACTCTTGTGCATGCGTATCGCTCAACTTTACTTTGAATTTTCACTCTTAATTCACATTTTTCCTTTCAAACTAGTGAAATCTTTTGTTTTCATCCTCTCCTAGTCGAGAGGTTTCCTATAAGGGTCAAAGTGGATATCGTAAAATTTTCGAAAGTCAGGGGAACTTCGTCTTCGGAAACCATAGAAACCGACTCGGGCCCTGTTCTAGAAGCGGTAGGAATGCTTTAAGGTAGGACTGTTCCAACTCTCGTATCCTACTTAGAGGCGTAAAAACTCGCTAGTAGCGAAATATCAATAACGTTTCGGTAATTTGAGAAGATTCTCATATATTAGTTGCCAGCGCGTCACCTTCGCTTCGAGGAGGCTAGCACTGGTTCACTAATTACATGCCTTCGTTGTGGTCGCTGACCATCGCAAATAATTTGTAAACAAGTACTCATTTGTGAAGTTTTTCCATGCAAGGTGTTCTGGGATGAAATCTTTTTTGCAAAAGAACAAACGCGAATTTTAATCATTTTTTGTATTCTTTGTGCTCGATAGTCAGGTGTGCGCCGGACACAGCATGCCGCCAATTCGGAGAATACGAACATCTTTACTTTCTTCCCGATTGTTCGACGTTGCTTTTATGTTTTCCATTATCGTTACCATTATTAGTTTCCCCCCACAATGGTCGGTCGCCTCATCGTGACGTGGGGGTGACACTGGGTGTCGAACTGCGATGCACAGCCGAGTGTATACTCTGGCAGGGTCTCTCAAGCTGTGAAGGAGTTCGACGTTTCCGGACTCGGCCGGATGCCTAGCTAAGAACCGGCCACGCCAGATCCCCGGCCGTCTGGCTTCTTGTGGTCGCTAGGCGGTTCTCGCCGCTCCAAGCCCGGAGTCAGCGATCGCTCCGTGGAAATCAGAGTTGGCCTAGTAAGTCTGCTCTTCTAGGGGAACAAATCTTATTACTCAGACAGCAAGAAGGAAGATATAGAAAAAACCCTGTACATCGGATCCCACCTACGGCGCCGGGTGGTAGCAGAACGGTGTCAGGGTAGTCAGGGCGCCTTTCGGATCGGACAAAAACGACACGTCTGCCCGGACGACACGTCATGGAGACTGCCTCATGCTCTGCACATACAACGCCAGGACAGTCTCCTCAAACGCCGACCTCCACGCTCTTCTCGCGCTGCAGAGCAGATCAAGCACCACATCATCGCTCTGCAGGAAACGAAGTCCAGGAAGAAGGACGTGCGACAGATGAGTGATGGGACCCTCATCATTCGTGGTGAAAAGGTTCCATCACGAAACGTGGGAGGCGTCAGCTTTGTCGTCCACCCATCTATCGTCCATCTTGTCGATTGCACAAGAACCTACCACCTCGACTAGGCATCCTACGACTATGCCCTCCACATCAGAAGACCATCAGCATCATCAACTGCTATTCTCCAACATCAGCAGCTGACGAATCGGAACTAGATGCTCTCTACGAAGATGTGGAGGAGATCGTCCGCAA